GGAGGAGAGGACCAGTAGAGCTAGCTGATATTGAAAAACACCTCCTCCAAGCTCAAGAATTGTCCATCACAACAAGCAGGAAATCAAGCAAAGGCAGCAGAAGGCCTGCATGGATGAACAAGTTGCTCCCGGCTAAACTCAAACATTAAAAGGAAGTGTACAACAGGTGGAAGCAGGGATGGGTGACCCAGGATAATTGTAGAAACACCATCCAAGTATGCAGAAATGGGGTTAGGAGAGCTAAAGGCCACCTGGAGTTGAAACTGGCAAGGAACATGAAAGACAACAAGAAGCACTTCTGTAAGTACATCAACAGCAAAAGGAAGACGAGGGGGAAATGTGGGCTTTCTGCTGAATGGGGCAGGGGCCCGGGTGACAAAGGACACAGAAAAGGCTGAAGTACTGAATGCCTTCTTTGCCTCAGTCTATACTGGTAAGACTGACCTTCAGAAATCCCAGGCCCCTAGAGACCAGGGAGAAAGTCTGGAGAAAGGAAGACTTTCCCTTGGTGGAGGAGCATCACAGTAGGGATCCCTGAAGCAAACTGGACATACACAAGGCCATGGGCCCGTGATGGGATGCACCCACGAGAGCTGAGCCGATGGCATTACAAAGCCACTCTCAGTCATCTTTGAAAGGTCCTGGCAATCAGGAGAGGTGCCTGAGGACTGGAAGCAAGCACTCCTTTCTTCAAAAAGGGCAAGAATGAAGACCCAGGCCAGTGAGCTTCACCTCGGTCTCTGGGAAGGCGATGGAACAGCTAATTCTGGATACCATTTCCAGCCACATGGAGGACGAGAAGGTGATCGGGAAGAGTCAGCATGGGTTCACAAAGGGGAAATCATGCTTAACCAAACCGATAGCCTTCTACGATGGAATGAGTGCCTGGTTAGATGAGGGGAGAGCAGTGGATTTTGTCTGCGTTGACTTCAGTAAGGCTTTTGACACTCTCTCCCATAATATCTTCATAGGCAAGCTGAGGAAGTACGGCTAGATGAGCAGAGTGAGGTGGACTGAAAACTGGCCAAACTGCTGGGTTCAGAGGGTTGTGATCAGTGGTGTGAAGTCTAGTTGGAGGCCACTCTAACTGAAGTCTAGTTGGTGTCCCCCAGGGGTCACTACTGGGTCCAATATCATTTAACAACTCCATCCATGCCTGGGGAGATGGGACAGAGTGTACTCTCACACGTTTGCGGATGATACAAACCTAGGAGGGGTGGCTGATGCACCAGAGGGCTGTGCTGTCACTGAGAGGGACCTTGACAGGCTGGAGGAACGGGCAGACAGGAACCTCATGAAATTCATGAAAGAGAGGTGCAAGGTCCTGCACCTGGGGAAGAAAAATCTCATGCACCAGTACAGGCTGGGGGATGACTGTCTGGAAATCAGCTTTTCAGAGAAGGACCAGGTCAGCAGGTCCAAGGAGGTGATCCTCCCCCTCAGTCCTGGTGAGGCCACACCTGGATTGCTGTGTCCAGTTCTGGGCTCACCTGTACAAGAGAGACATGGAGCTACTGGAGCGAGTCCAGAGACGTACTCTAGGATGATTAAGAGCCTGGAGCATCTCTTGTATGAGGAGAGACTGAGAGATCTAGGATTGTTTAATGAAGAGAAGAGAAAGTTCAAGGAGGATCTTATCAATGTGTGCAAGTATCTGAAGGGAGGGTGTAAAGAAGATGGGGCCAGACTGGGATAAACTGGGCAAATTGGATACCATCAAGGTATCCAAGGCATCCAAGGGCAAATTGGAAACCATCAAACAGGATTTCAGAGCTCTGGGGATGGTGGTCAAGGGTCTGGGAGCCCAGGTCGTTTTCTCCTCAGTCTTGCCTGTGAGGGGGGGAAAGGACGGGAGGAGGAGTAGACGAGTCTTCCAAGTTAACAGCTGGCTGCGCCGCTGGTGTTGGCAGCAGGGTTTTGGTTTCTATGACAATGGGACCCTGTTTGAGGATCAACAGCTGATGGGGAGAGATGGGATACACCTCACTAAGCAGGGCACGCGCGTCTTTGCCAACAGATTGGCCAGCCTGGTAAGGAGGGCTTTAAACTAGGAAAGATGGGGGAAAGGGAGTGGTATAGTGACAGGGTAGTCAGTGGAACACCGCTCAAGTCAGGATGCCTCCAGCGGGTGCATGCAGCCAGGGGAGACAGCACGGGACATGGCTATGGAGGATCCTCTTGCACCTCTCCTGAGAAGCCTGCATGCTCGATTGCCTCTCTGAAATGCCTGTACACCAATGCACGCAGCATGGGGAATAAGCAGGAAGAATTAGAGCTCTGTGTGCGGTCGCAGGGCCATGATCTCGTTGCGGTTACAGAGACATGGTGGGATAGCTCACATGACTGGAATGCTGTCATGGATGGCTACACGCGTTTTAGGAAAGACAGGCCAGAAGGGTGGAGATGCTCTTTATGTGAGGGAGCAACTAGACTGTGTGGAGCTCTGCCTCGGGGTGGAGGAAGAGCAAGCTGAGAGCCTATGGGTAACGCTTAAAGGGCAGGCTAACCTGGGTGACACGGTGGTGGTGGGGGTTTACTACAGGCCACCTGACCAGGAGGAAGTCATCGATGAGGCCTTCTACCGACAGCTGGAAGTAGCCTCACGATCACAGGCCCTGGTTCTCATGGGAGACTTCAACCACCCTGACATCTGTTGGGAAGACAGCACAGCTAGGCACAAACAGTC